TGTCTTAAAGAAATTGAGCTCCTGGAATTAGGGAAGTAACAATAGATATATGAGATAATGAGGGACCTTGTCCACATACACAAGGAATTAAAGGAGAAAGGATTTCAGATTTTCTTCTCAATTGATGTATATTTCAGTGGAGCCCTAAATTGTGTTTTGTTTTATTAAAGCATAATTTACATCCATTGCTGAAATCCAACTTCCCACTATTTAAGTGCCTGTATGTGTTGCCTGTATGCTACTGTAGATTCAACCAGACTTCCTCATTTCCTCAAGAAACATTATGCAGAATAAGCACAAGTGGGTGGCTGTTTAAGGGATATTTAAGCTTTTTTATACCTTTGCTTATATGTCGTTAGGGTTTTTTTGTAAATTGTAATAATGATGAACAGCAGTTGAAGTTAAACTGTTTTCATGTTTGGAAAAGTATGCTAATTATTTTAGTTTTTAGGAGGGTGAACAGCGAACTATCAGCCTTTGAAACCTATTCTTCAGGAAGTTAATGTATAGGACATTGTCTGTTAGATGGTTTCATTTTGTTTTGTGTTTTTGTAGTACTGGATATTGAACCTAGGGCCTTCACACTGAGGTGTGTCTCCTCCTGCCTTGCCATGTCTCCATGTCTGTCTTTTTTTTTTTTTTTTTTTTTTTTAATTTAAGGAGAAAAAGGGAAAAAACAAAAAGGGTACAAGTAATACAAAATTTAAAAAATAAACAGTAAGAAATCACTAGTTAATAGATTACATATTCTCATCTTAGAAATAGTTGTTCAAGTTACAAAATTGAAGCATATAAAGTGGACTTTCAAACAGTGAGAGTGCAGTTTTTTTCAATGATCCAAAAAAACAGTAATATGGTTATCTATCTTATACACTTAAACATATACGCAGTTATAACCTTTAGAGCACTTTCTTTTCTTTTGTACAATGACAATTACACATTTTGGGTTTTATTACTCCCACAGTTCTTACTATTTTTTTTGAAGAGAGTAAAACCAAATACGACATATCACAACAGAGTCAGTCAAATCAAAAGGATGGACATAATAGATAATGTAAAAACAAAATATAAGATGATCAGCAATCCTCTTGCTATTTTATGTCTTGTCTTTTTTTGTGTGTATCTTTTTTTTTGTCTTTTTGTGCTAGGAATTGAACTCAGGACCTTGTGCTTGCCAAGCAGGTGCTTGTGCTGATGAGCTATATCTCTGGCTCCCGCTTATTTCTTAATTTTGAGACAGTCTTGCTAAATTGCCCAGCTTAGATTTGAACTTGTAATTTGTGATCCTTCTGCCTCAACCTCCCAAGTGCTAGGATTACAGGTGTGCACCATTGCTCCAGGCCTGTATGATGTCTTAGGCAAGCCCAGTGCTTCATGCTGGAGCAGGCTTATTTGTCCAAAGTTGAAGGGTGAGGGAGAACTCTATAGGCTCTTGAATTTCACAAATGCCTCCTCTAATGTCAGTTTACCTGCACCTTTTCTGAGCCTGTAATTATTCCAGGAAATGAAGTATTTGATTTTTGTATTTGTATATGACTATATGTAGTGGTTATTAATACATATATAAATAGTATTCAGAAAAATAAATCCTAAAAATAAATATCAATTTTTGGTTTTATGAAAAAAAAAAAAACTTTAGAAAATGTGCAATGCTATAGGAAGTTTTTTTTCTTTTCTTTCAAGTTTTTTTGACAATTGAAACTAGCCTGTCTTCCTTCCCTTCTTCCTTTCTTTTCTCTTTCTTTCTTTGCTTTTTAAGATACGGTCTCAAAAAAAAAAAAAAAAAAAGATACGGTCTCACTCTGTAATTCAGGTTGGTCTTAAACTCACTATGTACCTCAGGTGGCTTCAATCTCATGGCACTTCTGCCTGTGTGTCCTGAGTGCTTGGATTACAGGCATGCACCACTGTGCCTAGCTAAAGCTAGTATTTTCTTTCTTTCTTTCTTTCTTTTTTTTTTTTTTTTTGGTCTTTTTCTTTTTTATCGGTACCAGGGATCGAACTCATGACTGCTTGCTTGCAAGGCAGGCACTTATGCCGCTGAGCTAAATCCCCAGCCCCGTAGTATTTTCAACCTAAGCTTATCCAAATGTAGTTTCCCACTAACATTTAAATAGTGATCTTAAAAAAATCCACTTTTTAAGCTTCTTTTAGAAATGTTTTATTTAGACCAAATCTGATACTTTTTGGGTTTGAGGATACATGTTAAATTTTTTGTGTTATATGTTATAAATTACTTATTAACTAGGAGTGGATTGTTCACTTTCTTGGGTATTCAGTTAATACTTTTATCAGAATTGTAAGGTGAACAGACTAGAAGAGAAACAGTAAAAGGAGTTGAAACAAATCAGTTTCAGATGTTTCTGCAAGATTATAACTACATTGAATTATTGACAACTTCAATGCTGGAGCAATGAAAATGCTGTATTGAAGTTATTTTAATGAGATATGGACAAAAGTTGAAAAATAAATTTTTGATAGCTTGAGGAAAATGTGATATATATGTACATAAAAAATACATATTATATGTGCATACACATATTTTTTCCCCCTAAAGTGCAGACTTAGGATAATTTTTTTTTTCTTTTTTTTTTTCAATTGGTACCAGGGATGGAACTCATGACTGCCTGCTTGCAAGGCAGGCGCTTATGCCGCTGAGCTAAGTCCCCAGCCCTGGATAATGTGTTTTTAGTTGCTTTCAATGTAGTTTGTTTACCAAGACATCAAAAAGGCTTTATCATTTGGTCTTTATGGCTAAAGCATCCTAAAATGTGAACATTTATTATGATTATGAAGTTAAACTTAACTTCTGTTGTGAACTGAAAATCAGCAGTATAATTTTTTGAGATGTTAAGTATATTAAAAAGCAAATCAGTTTTCCTTGCCACAGACTTGCTACATTTGTGATCCTTTGAGGAAAATATTGTAATATATCACTAATAGCAGTTGCTTTTAAAAACAATCTAATCATAAGGAATGTTGTCTTTAATCCCAGACAGAGTAGTTTGCTTTACCTAACCACAAAACAGTTTAAAATACCACCTACTACAGAACCTTCAGATAATTTCTTGAAGAAACCATGTCTAGTAATGGAGGAGGGAGGGTGTGTGTGTGTTTGTGTGTGTATGTATTGAGGGAGGGTTAGTGGAGAATTAAGAGGAAAGGGAAGCTGATACTGGTAGAATCTAGTTTTATAGGTTGGGATGATCACTGAAATTTTTTTGAAGGTATTTTAAAAAGTAACTATTGTTATATGGGTCATCAGTTTAGTGATCTAGATTACTACTCTTTATGGCAATTTGCATTTTTAATATGTAAGTATAGCATTTAATACAGGTGCTGATTTTTATGGTTGAAAGTTTTGCTGATAATTTAAGTGGAGATTTTCTTAAGATCTCTGATATTTGTTGGATCAACTATACTGGGCCTTTTTCCTTTTTTTTTTTTTTTTAGGAATGAACCTTTTATGCATATATGTTTTGACCATTCTTGCCAGTCACTGTTGGTAATTGTAGTCTTTGCTGTTTAGAATTTAGAGTCTGTTTTGTGGCTGCTACTGAATGCTAATGTGGTTAGGTTGGCAACTAAACCTACAAAGAACAAGAGGAAGTGAGGAAATGTCCCTTGAAAGATTGCTTAAAGCTATTTAAGCAGTGGACTAGATAGAAGAACCTAGGGAATCAAGGATCCTAATTCTTGTTTTATGTTCAGAAAAGGGTGAAGCATACCTTCCTTAAGATATAAGTATTGCCTGCTTCAGTGTGTCATCTCTTTGGAGTTTTGCCATTCATTCACTAGACACTGATTAAAGGTATTCTGTATTCCAGGCATGTGGTAAGTGCTAGAATCACAAACTCTGGGCCTTCTGTAGGAAGGGAGACAGAATGGGCTTAACTAACTACATACAGTGCAACTTGTTGAAAACTAGTTAGTCAGTGGTGTGGAACTAGGAAGAGAAAGGAATTTCTTCTGGGGAGAAGATAGTTATGGCAGGGAGACTAGGTGAGATTAGGGAAGACTTCATGAAAGGGAAGTTTGAGGACCGAAGAGTGGGTAGCTATTTTAGTGATGGGAAGAGCAGGCTAGAGAAAGGGTATCAGCAGTGGAATTTGAGAAAGCAAGTGAACTTTATTTTAGATGTAGAGTAATAGGAAGTGAAACTGATGAGGCAGTGGTTTAATTGGGAAGAGTTGTAATCCCATGCTCCCAAGTATAGTGTTTATTCTGTATACATTTGGGACCATCAGAGGTTTGAGTAGGGAATCTCTGGGTTTTAATATTTTAAAATTGCTATATCTGCAGTGCTTGGAATCAAACGCAGGGTCTTGTACTTCCTAGGCAGCTCACATGGAAAGCAAGCACTCTACCATTCAGCTACAGCCCTGACACTTAACTCTGATTTTAAAAAGGTGACATGAATATTGGATGAGATACCTTTGAAACTGTTGAGTTGTAAGAGGAAATAAATTTTGGAGATAATTTTTATTTCATAGTTGTCAGGTCTGGGTGACTATTGTGTTCAGGGAGTTAAAGATTATAGTCTGGTTAATGGATGATGATGTCTTTAGGATAGAGAATGTATAGGAAGAATAGAATTTGAGGAGGAAGATATGATGGGTTATTTGAGCCAGGCATGGTGGTACATGCTAATAATCCTAGCACTTGGGAGGCAGAGACAGGAGGATCACTATGAATTTGAGGCCAGCCTAGGCTATGTAAGCAAATTCAAGGCCAATCTGCACTGCATGGTAAGACCTTGTCTCAAAAAACAAAACATAACAGACTGGACCTCAGGGGACTTAATTGGCATTTATCAGGTTAAGGTCATATTTGATTCCTGGTTTAAAAAAGAACAAAACGGGGGCTGGGGATTTAGCTCAGCGGCATAAGTACCTGGCTTGCAAGTAGGAGGTCGTGAGTTCGATCCCCAGTACCGATAAAAATGAAAAAAGATACAAAAAAAAAAAAAAAAAAGTTAAACAAAACAAAACAAGGCCATATAGAAACTGAGAATAGTACATAAAGTTAGGAGTGAGGAAAAAAGGAAATGTAACCTTGGGGGGATCTCTTTTGAGAGTCAAGAGGAAGAAGTGGGGCTGAAGAGGAAGGTGGGAAAGTGTGGTTGAACAGTTAGGAGAATGCTAGAGGGATGAAGTTCCAGATGAAGAAAATCTTTAACAGGGACACTAGGCATATGTATTAGTTACTTTTCTCATTGCTAAGACAAAAATACCTAATGCCCAAAGGTACAGGAGGAAAGGTTTATTCATACTTTGTAGAGGTTTCACTTTGTAACTGGCTGACTTCATGACAGAGTAGTAGGCAGAGGATCATTGCAGAGGAGAAACAGTTCACAGCTAAAAGTGACAAACCTCTTTCTGTCTTTACATTTTATCCCATGCTCAGACCCAGCCCTCATACCCACGGAAGACCCCCCTCCCATTATCTACTGCCAGAACTGTGTCAAACTGATCAGTTGAACTAATTTATAAGCACATGTGCTTGATCCCAGTGTTACATGTTCTAGATCCCGCCACCTCTGAAAAGCTGCATGTCTGACCACGGAGCCTTTGGGACATCTAGATTCAAGACATCCATCATGTGAATTACTACAGAGTTAATTTGGAATACACACTGGATTTGTCATTAAAGATGCAAAAGAAATTTTCTGAATGTGTATGTATGTATTATTTTGCCAAACATATCATGATAGTTTAACTACAGATTTCTAGATCATTAGTAAATACAATGGTCAGCCCTTTAAAACACAATTTAACAGATGATGATCTATGATTAGAAACCATTCTGTTTTTCCCCTTCTCTTATGAGATTAATAACTTTAAAATTTTAGGATGCCCAGTGACAGAACTGCCCCCCAGCATCTCCATGTTGTCGGTTCTTTTGTTTTTCAATTTTTATTTTTTATCAGTATGTGTTTGTGGTACATAATGATCACATTCCTTATAGAAAGTTGGAACATAACACATCTAAATTATTTTTTATCCCCCTCCCCTCTCTCTCTTGCATTTTCTTAAACTACATTAAAAGCCTTAAATTCTGAGAATTGGCAAATTTGTATGAGCTGCCAGTTTCTTAAGAATTCCTCTTGAAGAATTTTGAGGTCAAATGTTAACATTTAACAAATAATGTTAAAAATAAATGTTTTAATGTGACAAGCTGAAAAAATATGTGTATGTATGGTGTGTGTATATGTATATATATATTTATATTAAAATAGTTATACTACTGATTTCTTTGAGTTCACTGAGGAGAAAGATTTGTACTGGTATTGTTTGGACAATTGAAGGCAGCTGTCTTATCCTCCGTGAATGATTTGGGGCTGACTGTGTGCAATGTATGTACATTGTTACCCCTGATTGACGTGTTTTGAAATTTTGTTGTAGTTTTTTTTCTCTTTTTTTCCTGTTTACCTTTGAATAAAATGTACTTAAAAAAATAAATACAGAGATTTTAAGCCTAGAGTTTATAGTTTTGGATTCAGTGTTATATTTTGATTGTGTGACCCTGACCCTCTTAAAATTGCCGGGAAAGTTTTGTGTGAGTGTATATGTGATTTTTTTTCTTTGGAGAGGATCTATCCTCACTTGTGAGATTCTCAAGATCTCTTAACAGAGAAAAGTCAAGGACCTTTTAGTAATGCTAATAATTAAATCAAGTGTTAGCTGAAATCAGTTGTCTTGACTACTGAGGAGGATCAAGGAAAAGAAAGAAATTTGGAATGAGATTATCTCAGGATATTTTTGAGGAATTTTGAAGCCCATCTTACTGTTGGGAGTAGAATCATCAAAAAAGAAAATAGGAAAATCAAAGCAAAGCATAACTAATTCAGAATTTCACCAAGTTTTCCTACTGTATTCTTTGTTTCTTCAAACTCTAGGACTTAACACTATTATGTCACTATTCATGACTGTAAATACAATAGGATTTAGGGGAAAGATCAAATTTCTGTACACTTTTTTCTTTGGTACTGGGGATTGAGTTTACAACCTCCTCCTTGCCAGGCAGGCCCTTTTGCTGCTGAGCTAAATCCCCGCCCCCTATTTTTAAGAAAATGTTTTTTTTTGTTTTGTTTTTATTTTTGTATTGAACTTGAACTCAGGGCCTGTGCTTGCCAGTCAGGAGCTTTGCCAGTGAGATACATCCCCAGCTCAGATTTTTGTTTTTTGAAATACAGTCTTGCTGTGTACTTCAGGCTTCCCCTGAACTCACTATGTAGCCCAGGTTGGGCTCGAATTTTTAGTGATCTTCCTGCCTTAGCCTCCTGAGTGCTGAGATTATAGGCGTGCGCCACCATACCCATCTCAAAAATCTGTTTTGATAGAAAACAAATTGGCTCATAGGAAAAAATTTAAATTAGAAGTAGCTTATATTTTAGAAAATTTCTAAAGCTAGTAATGTATAGCATTCTTTTTTTAACTTTTTTGATCATGAAATGCAAATATGATTGATCTATTTGTGAAGTCTAAGTAACATGACTTTTGATGGTAATAGTAATCTAATCCTAGGAGTTTGGGCCTGCTAGGCTGGCCTGTGCCATCAGTTTACATCTCCACACTTCTTATTGCCATCCTTATAACGTAAAAGACTGTTAGCATTGCCTTATAGACCGTCCTATAAAAGTAATATTGGTAAGTCAAAGAAAGATATAAATAAATACATCATCTTAAACATAAGCTTGTATTATGTAATTAGCTTGTTTGTGGGTTACCTTTTTAAAAAGTTGACATAATTTTACTTATGAGCTACAATGTAATTTTTTTTTTAAGCATAGAATAACTTAAATTTATTCTCTCATAGTTCTAGAAACTAGAAATCTGAATTCAGTTTCACTGGGCTGAAATTGAGCTGTCAGCAGAACTGCACTCCTGGAGGCTCTGAGAATCCGACAATGTAATATTTTGATACATATATATAATACAGTGATACATATATATAATGCAGTGATCAAATCAGGGAATTAGCATGTTAATTCCCTCAAATGTATCATTTCTTTGTTTTGAAATCTTATAGCTATTTTGAATTGTATAGTAATTGACAGTATTTATCATTATGCTATATAACACAAGAATTTAGTCTATTTAATTGTTTTTGTACAATTAATCAACCCTTCTCTGTTCCTTTCTTCCCAGTACCTTTCCTATCCTCTGGTAACTGCTATTCTACCTGCTACGTCTGTGTGATCAGTGTCTTGATTGTGATTTATGAGTGAGAATCTCAGTGTCCTGTGCCTGGCTTGTTTCACTTTACATAAAGTCCCCACCTTCATCCATGTTTCTGTGATCTTTATATTTACTTTATCCACAAAGAGCTAGGTAGTTTGTCTTTTTTTTTTTGGAATTTTTGGATTTTGGTCTTTCATTAGACAATTATGAAATTTTTTGGTAATAGATCATCTATATCAAAATAGTCTATGTAGGCTGGGTTGTAGCCTGGTGATAAGAGCACTTAGCTTACTCGAGGCCTTGGGTGGTATCCAGCACTGGAAAAAATAAAAGGAGCAACAACAGCAACAAAAAAATCCACAAATCAAAACACCAGTCAAGGTCTGCTAAGCAGGAGTTCCTTTATACAGCTCACTTTTGTTTTTTGAAAAGGATCTCACTATATAGAATAAGCTGGCCTTGAACTCTGTGTACTGCAGACTTCCTTGGATTTATGATTTTTCTGCCTCATCCTTCTGAGCGCCACCATCCCTGGCACAACTAGCATTTTGACTCAAAACTTCCTTTTGGTCCTACTGTAAGGAAAAAATAACCCTGACGTATCCAAGTTGTGTGACTGAATGTTAAATGTTTTGCCTTTAATTTTTGGCTCTAAAGTTTCATCTAAATAAAAATTACTTTGAAAATTAATTCTGAGTTTGTGTTAAATGTAAGTATAGTTTCTTCTTCTTCTTCTTTTTTTTTTTTTTTTTTTTTTTTTTTTATCGGTACCAGGGATCAAACTCACGACCGCACGTATGCAAGGCAGGTGCTCATGCTGCTAAGCTAAATTCCCAGCCCCAGTAGTTCCTTCTTAATGTGAAAAGAAGAAACCTTAATCATAATTGTATATTTTAATATATGAGGTATAAAAGTATGGTGAATATTTAAATTTTTAAAAAATTATTGTAAAAGATACATTGTCATTAATCCTCCTCATAGTACTTCCCTTTTGCTCCAAACATATTCATTGTATCATATTCTTGTCACTTCCTGTGCAGTTTTAAAAGTCCTCTTTTGTAAGTGTCTTGCATTAGGTGGGCTTTTGTGGCTGCCTCATGGTCCTGAATCAATTCAAATAAAGGTTTACCTTTCAATTGCATTTTTACTTTGGAGAAGAGCCAGGTGCCTCCTGGTGCTAGATCCGGTGAATAGGGTAGGTGAGGGCACACTAATCTGTGTATGTGTACACGCACATACACATGTGTGCTTGTACTTTAACCTATTTGATGGTAATATAATGTACTGTCCAGTTTATTTTGATATCTCTTTTCGTATGGTGATTTAGAAGATCATCAAGCCAACATGAATATTTGGCCATTTGCATATACACCTGCACAATACCTCACATCTTTCAGTAAAAAAAACACTGAAGAGTAAAGACCTGACTCAATTAACTAGGTACAGTGAGAATCTGCTCCAAACATTTTTCTTAATGGAGGTAAGAGTATCACACTCCTGTTCAGTTAAGAAAACCATCCTTAAAATTTAAGATGTATTTTTTCTTTTTTTTTTTTTTTGGTACTAGGGATCGAACTCATGACCTTGAGTTTACTTAGGAGATTTTTTATTTTTAAGCAGGGCCTAGAACACATTAACTGCTAATTAGTTGCTGAGTGGCATAACTGCACCCCCAGCCTATGTCATAAAACCATAGGGAATAGGATCCTGTAACTCAGGCTCCTTGACACTGGTTCTCACAGTGTGATTCTCTGGGCAGTACAGGCTGGCTCTTTAGTTGAACCCAGGCACCTTTTTCTTTGGCTTTTTCCGATCGTTTTCCTTGCTGCATTTTAGGAAGCTATTTCCAAGTGCTTAATATTCCTGGTTTACACATCATTTTCTCTTACCCAATATATTGTTCTTTCTCCTTTATGACAATGCCAATAGCATGGTGGGTAACATTGTAGACTGCTCCATTTTTGCCATGGTAACATTGTGTGGCATTTCTTTTTGAATAGTAGCCAGTCCCTTAATACCTACATTTATCATCCTTTTTATTTTGCCTATGTATGGCCAAAGGAGTAATTCCATGTTTTCGAAAAGGCTCAGAGAACATATACTTGATTCCTCTCTTTCTCTTTGTGATCATTTTGGTGAATTACTAGAAGGTGGCGATTTAACTAAAAGGCTAATGTTCTTATGAATCTGCTTTTCTGTTTCATGGTACTTGCCTGTGGCTTTCACCATGTTTTCGATCATACCTCATAAAGACCAAAAAGAACTGCTTCAGAAAGTGACAAGCAATGGATGAGTATTCAAAGCAAAGGGTAGTCTTGAGGGACATTAATAGTCTGGTTTTTTTGTTACTGTTTTTTAGAGAGAGGGTCTTGTAGTATAGTTCAGGCTGCCTTTGAACTCATCTTGTAGCCTAGGCTGGCCTCTGAACTCACAGTGGTCCTCCTGCCTCAGCCACATATGCTGGGACTACAGGTGTGCACCACCACACCTGAGCATACATATGTCTTTTTTAATTTTTTTTTTTTTGTCTTTTTGATACAGGGTCTCTCTATGCAGTTTAAGCTGGCCTTGAGCTCATTTTGTAGCCCAGGCTGATCTCGAACTCACAACAATCCTGCCTCAAGCTCCTGAGTGCTGGGATTACAGGAGTGCACTGCCATACCCGGCTTCTAAAACATTCTTAATGAAATAAATACAAATACATTTATTTTAATGTTTAAAATATTTTCTTCAGATACCTATTTACTTCAGGAAATGCTTACTGTCTGTTCTACAATCTGGTTTTGCTGAGGCAAGGGTCATTTGGAGTTAAGGTATAAGGGTTTGCCTTAAGAGTTTACATAGAGAAGGAAAGCTCAGTTTCATTTACATATTAACTTAGTTTCTCTCCATCTGCTGTCATAGTTCCTGAGCAAAGATTTCTGTTTACTGCTTAATTTCTGAAGTGAATTTTGTATTATTGGGCTTTTTATTTATTCTGGGACATTTTTTAGTTATTCCCATTAATAGCAAATTATTAGTGGCAGCAAGAATATAATACAGTAGTGTTAAAAATAGCTTAGTTAAGGACGTGAGTTTGATCCCTGGTACCAAAAAAAAAAGTTAAAAAAGATCTGTCTTTTGGGAGTTCAAAAGATTTTAAATGCATAAAGTAGAAATATTTGTGTTTCTGTAAATGCCATATAATCTAATTCATATTTGTCCTTAATGAGATATATGTACATAAAAGTATACATAAAAATACTTATATTTTTATCATATAAAGAGTAATGACTTTCTCAAAGTTAGCCTTCTAAAGATTTGATACAATAGAGGCTATTTTATTTTTTTGAAACAGGGTCTCTATGTAGATCAGGCTGGCCATAAACTTAATATATAACCCAGACTCACTTCAGAGTCAGTGTGATCCTGAGTGCTGGGATTACAGAGGTGGGCCACTATGCATTTCAGAGTTCTTTGTAGAGCTAGTAATGCAACCCATTTTTCCTACCTACTCATTTAGTTTTGTTTAATCCCTGTGAAAGTTCGTTTGCTTTTGTTCGTTTGCTTTTGTTTTTATTTTTTTGTAAAAAATGGTAAGCTTACCTAGAGTAAAAATAGTTCCTTAGTTATGGCAATTAGTATCTGAAGTAAAGTCATTTTTCATTTAAGTACAGTCATGCATTGCATGATAATAGGGATGCATTCTGAGGAATATGTAGGTGATTCTGTTGTATTGGGAGCATCATTCCAGTGCTTATGTTGACCTTAATGGTATAGCTTACTTCACACCTAAGCTGTATGTTTGTATCACTCCTAAACTACAAGCTTGTGCAGCATGTTACTATATAGGATACTGTAGGTAATTGTAGCACAGTGGTAAATATTTGTGTATCTAAGCACATTCAAATAAAAACTACAGTAAAAATAGCATGTAAAATTTAACAAGTGTTCTGTCTATCTAAAACACCATGAATGGATCTTGTAGGACTAGATGGAACTTGAGCTGGGTGAATCAGTAAATGGTAGGTGAATGTGAGAATCTACAACATTACTGTACACTACTGTAGACTTTTTAAACTGTTCACGTAGGCAACTCTAAATTTATAAAAAATAATTCTCCAGGATAAATTAACCCCACTTTCTGTAACTTCATTATTTTATTTTATTTTATTTTTTTAGGCAGTGAGATTTTTTTTTTTATTAAGGAGAAAAAGAAAGAAAAAACAGAAATAGGGTACAAGTTATACAGAATTTCAGAAAAAATAAACAATAGGAAATCACTAGTTAATAGATTACATATTGTTATCTTAGAAATAGTTCAAGTTACAAAATTAAAGCATATAAAGTGGATTTTCAAACAGTGAGACTGGAAACAGTTTTGTTCAATGATCCAACAAAACTCAGTAATATGGTTATCTATCTTATACACTTAAATATATATTCGGTTATATTCTTTTTTTTTTTTTTTGGTCTTTTTCGTTTTTATCAGTACCAGGGATCGAACTCACGACTGCCTGCTTGCAAGGCAGGCGCTTACGCCGCTGAGCTAAATCCCCAGCCCCCTATTTGGTTATATTCTTTAGAGCACTTTCTTTTCCTTTCTTTTGTACAATGACAATTACACATTTTAGGTTTTATTACTCCCACAGTTCTTACTACTTTTCTTGAAGAGAGTAAAACCAAATGTGACAGAACAGAGTCAGTCAAATCAAAAGGATGAACATAATAATGTAAAAACAAAATACT